TAAAAACAATGATAAATACCTTAAAATGCATGGAGCAAAATTTACGTGCAAAAAAGTTCAGGAGGTATATGATTAAAAAAGATGATGAGACTTTGCATCCTGGGAAGTTTTAATGTATGGGTGAGCTTTAAAGATGGTGCCTGCCCAGACTTGGTCTGGCAGAGAGAAGAGTTGGGGGCCATGAGTCTGGGGAGAGCATGAGCAAAGCTCCTGTGAGGGTCCTGAGTGTATGTCCTGCTGCGAAGAGGACAGTTCATACTGAGGAGTAGTGGGACATGACCTTGGAAAAGTAGAACAGATGACTCTGAAAATATGCCAGTAGCCTCCTCCTCATTTCCTCCCCTCCATGGCTGAGGTGTCCCATCATGCGTTGTGAAAGGTGGCTGACCTTTGCCTGGGAGGGGGTGGTTGTCAGGCTCTGCCACCTGTGTGGCCTGAGAAGGCGATGTGTAAGCAGGAGGTTTCTCCCTGTCCCTATGCATTTCCACAGAATGCAGATTTAAGAACCCTCGAGACCGATCCTCCACATTTTCCCACTGGCAGGCTGAGTCAGAGCAGCAGAGCCAGAAGAACCTCAGATTTACCTTGTGTCTAGGCTTCTGTTTCTTCATCTGTAAAAGTCACCTCTGATTCTTGATGCCTCTCACGTACTTGCTCTGTCTACTGGTCCAGAAATTCAGACAGAGTGTGAGTTTTACCCTCTGTCACCTTTCTACCTACTCCACATAAATACCACCACCTCGGTGACAGCAGGTGCCCTAGGGTCCTGCAGCAGAAGAGTGGGCTCGCTCCCCTCCCCTCCCTCAGGTCCCGTATTTGTGGCCTGGCCCTCTTGCTCCCTCATCTCTTCTCCGCATGGCGCCCGGCACGGACTGGTACCCTGATCCTGGCTCTGAGGGTACTGGGAATGACACCAGCGGAGAGACAGCAGTATCTGTTCACTAGTGGGGATGGACTGTCCGAAACGTGAGGTCCAGTGATGTCATGACACTCAGGAAGAGCTTCGACCACTCTTTAAAGAGAGTTTTATAAGGATGGATTCTTCGGAGTCGTATTGGGATGCTGTTAGGTCTGATGTCAGTATTGCTTCAACGCTTTTTGTATCTATTTTTTTAACTTGTCAGAAATGTATTAACTATCCTACAGAGTTCCTGACTCCCAGACTGATTTACTTATTCACTCATTATCTCCATCCATCCATATACATACCCTAAAAAGCAAAAACCAAAACACTTAAGCTCCTGGAGTATAGAAGCAATATGAGAGGAAAAGAAATCATGACTTTTACACCCAGTGCTTTATAGTTGGGAGAGAATAGGCTAAGAAACAGCTAATAATTCAGTAAAGTAGCAACTCTTAAGGGCCCAAAAGAGAGATATGGGAAGGAACTGCTCTTGACACCAGAGGGAAAAAAGGAATTATAGAATAGAGCAGGTGGGGCAGGGCAGCCAAAAAACATTGTCGAAGGGGAAGAAGATTCTTCAAGAAAGCAGCTCTGTGGCGAGTTGAGGACTATACGTTTCCAGAGGAAGAATGCCACGAAGGGGTCAATAACAAGTTCTTGGGCTTTATTCGAGATTTGTCGAAGCAATAACTCCTACCATTTAAAAGGCCCCAATGAAGCTTTGAAGTTAACACCTCATTGCGGGGAAGCATGATGGCTTTTCATTCTGTACACGGATGCCTTCGCGTTGCAGAGGAGGGCAAGGGACGCTGCCTGTGCCAGCTCTGTTCCCCCGGCTTCAGGGCCCCTCTTCCTTTCCTGTGCCTGACCTGTTGCCTCCGCTGGGGTGTGACATTTTGGCTTCAGGGAGAAGATGATGGGCGTGCCCAGTGTTTCCCAGCTGACAGTCCCAAATGGCAAGCGCCCAGTCTGTTACTGTTCCCAGACTCCTGTTTTCTTTCATTCTAGGGATCGCCTTGCCCATTCTCAACCAACCCTGATTTACTGAATATCTAGACAGTGAGAAGGTGTATATGAGAGTGCTAGGTAAAGGCCTAGAAATGTCCAGTAGTATTGTGATTAAGCACTGAGGGGGAGACAAACAAGGATTAGACAAATCCTGTCCTCAGCAGCCCACTGTTGAGTGAGGAGTCAGGGATGAGCCAAGGTCACTGGCACTAGAAAGCAATGTGTGAAAGATGCTGGTGGGGGATTGCAGGCCACAGGACCCAAAGATCAGGGATTCTCTCTTATTCCCCCTTGTCTTTTTGGTTTTACTCCTTCCACTATGCTTTCTGCTTGCCCTGATGACCCAGTGGGTAAAGAGAGGCTATTTCCTTTTTCCCTGTAGACCTTGGGGAGGCTGGGGGAGGAAGAGGCAAGACTTTAAAAAAATGTTTAATATTGATTTTATTTCTATTTGAGCTTCCTGCTCATTTTATTAATATAGTCTCCTCATGTATATTAGGTCTTGCTGCTGCTGTGTTAATGAGCAAGGTTCTTGCAACTCTCTTTATGAGAGCTGCATTCCTTCGCAGGCTATCTGACCGTGGCCAGAGGTGCAGTAGCGGAGCCGGAATGAAACACGTCTGTAGGAAACCAGCAGGTCCTACGGGAATCAAACCCTTGACCTCAATCTCATTCACATTATGCCACGAGCAACTGAACTAATTGCCCACGATTTAGCAGATTAGCTCCAACAAGGCTTCAAAGAGCTGTCAGGATATCCGAAAGATAGTAACGCTCCCGGGGGTAACACAGAGGCTCCAGAAGAGCCTAGGGAAATACTCAGGTAAAGTTAGATTTTCAAGGCAAGAAATGCATGGACCTGTGATTGTGTCAACCACATTCCTTACGGGTAACTAAGATTGCAAAGAGGTCATGACTCTGCATCTTTCAGGCTGCACGATCTGTAGTGTACACAGCTCCCCTTCTCCGGATCTCAGCTTGCCTGTGTGTTAATGGGTTAGCTTAGAATTGATTATCCAAGCAGTAGGTGAGGGATTTGGACATTGCCATCAGATACCCCAAGCAGCAGAGGAGGGTAAATGGGTGCTATAGGGAATCTGGAGGACATAGTCTAAAACTTTGTAAGTACAAAACTTTGTTCAAGTCTCTCTTAGTTTGTTTACCTAAAAATTCACCCAAGTGTTCTATTCCATACATATCCCATTACTGTCCCATATGCCCTGTCTCCAAGCCGAGTAAAACCAGCCCGTTGGGAAGATGCCCCATGTTTATCTTGGGCTTCAAGTAACTCCTGGCAGTACTGGCTTTATTTAATCAGCCAGTTGGAGGCAGGACTTTTAAACTGGCTCGGGGGAGCTCTGTGCGACAAGGCACCTCCCTGGGGCAGTTACTAAGTTTTGTTTTCACATTTATAAAGTTAGATTGAGGTGTTAGTACTTTTAGAACTCTCCAGGCTTTTATCCGTGACCCCTCAATAAGTAGATAATACATTTTCTTTACCGTTGTTGATATAATATCCAGGTCTTTTTTTTTTTTTTTTTTTTTTTTTAAGTTTGTAGTTGTATTGAGGCTAACTAGCATAGTTTAGTAGAAGTAGTAGAAGAAGAAGTAGAAGGCCATCTACAAGGACACCGAGTTCACGTAAAAAACAGAGATTAAAATTATGGATGCAACCTTATTTAGTGAAAGGAAATTTAATTATATCATTTGCTTCTGCAAAAATGATTATAAACTGAAGATTAGGAAGGGCTTTATGTTTTTCTTTTTAGAATTCCGTCTCCTCACCTTAGGTTATCACATAAAGGATCTCCTGTGAAACTGTAACGAGTTGTTAATGTCTCTCCATGCAGAACACACTGCAGTATATTTCAGAAACACTTCTTGGTAACACAACATGATTAAGGGAATTCCAGAAAATCCCATTTTTTGTTAGTTATAAAAATGACTGTATAATCCCTTTAAAGTCCACATTAGCTCTCTTTGCCCAGAAGGAGTTAATCCTCAAGACATTACAGTCTCACATGACTCAAAGTGATTGGTCCACATTCTGTCAGCCTAGCAGAAATTTGTTGCATTGTTTTCTATAAACCACAACCAGAGCTCATTAATTGAAAAATGAATGTCAATTTCCATTAGCTGGCATCTATAAACCAGAAAGGTACAGTGATCCTGGCATGTGATGGGTAATAAAAACATCAGCAAAACGTCTCAGGTAAAATAGAGAAGGTGAGGGGGTAGAGGAATAAATTCAAAACCATATTGGAGTTTACTGGCAGGGCCCCACATCAAGGGTTTTAATGAGGCTTCTGCATCAAAATAAGGGAAACCACATGGAATGTTAATTATGACTACAGCATATTTTAAGGACAGATACCCACGAGAAGCATTTCTTTTTTTTAACATGGACAAGCCTGTCTGTGTGAGCTTCGTGCTTCTGTGGGGGGCAAATGGTGGGGTTTTCAGTGTGACTTCTTTCTGTTTGCGATTGTCCACATTATTCTGGTTTCTCTCACATGAGCTGAACATTGAACTTAACCTGTACAGAGGTGGCCTGCCTAGAACTATTCGCGGCGCCAGCACTAGTTCACCTAGCTGCTCTGCAAGGAAAAGGCCGGCCGAGGAACATCCGGGGCCCTTACGTCGTGCGTGTGGCTCCTTCCGCAGAGGGCGGGAGCACGGGGCTTGAGAGACCCTACGCCTCACCGGCTCCCGTTTGCCCTCTGTCAGAATCACTCGGCCCACATTTGAACACTGGAGCCGGTTAGGATTTTGCATCCGGGATGGGTGAGGTAGAGGCCGTTGGAAGATAGAAGACTTTGTAGAGAGCAGAGAGTAAACTGCCCAGAGTGTGTGAGTTTTGGTGTGTCATCTTGAAAGTGTTTGCTTCTGGTATTCGAAGCTGCTCACTAGCTCTTCACCCTCTGCTTGGGGGCCTGCGGATTCCGGGAAAGCATTCAGGAGGGGTGGGAACTTCTCTGCCTCCCCCTCCCCCTCAGACTGTTGCTTCTCCTCCTGTCTCGGAGTTCCCGGTGGTGATAGAGTGGCTAGAGCCGGAAGGGAACTTAGAGTTCATCCCCTCATTTTACAGATGATGACACTGCCACCTCTGACTTCTGCCTCTGGCCTTCCGCTCTCAGTAAGAAGAGCCAGGCAGGTGAGACTTGTTATTAACAATTGCTGGGTGGGGCTGGGCGGGGCCGGCTGATTGGTACTGTCCGATTTCTGAGAACAACTTTTTGTAAACTAGGTATCGCTTTTCAAATTGTCGCTTTTGATGACAAACGCACATCCTGGCCCTTATGAAGATCCCAGGCAGTGTGCATTTTAACAAAGATCCACAACTCTCAGCACCTTTAAGGAAAACCATTAAGATCGTTCCTTTAATAAACACTGTAGCATCCAAGAACAAGAGTTCAATAAAAACGGGACTGAGGATGTACCTCCTGACGGAGGCCTTGATGGAGCACTAAGTGCTTTCCCTTACGGATGAAAACTGTAGGAAAAGCAAACACGGCAGACGCGAAGACTTGGAAGGTTTTGGATGTGACAAAATCTTAAGAACGCTGGGATCATAAAAGGCCTTGTCCTAATTCTGTCAATTTTTGAAAATCATAACCCAGTCTTTAAAGAACACCACTCTTAATTTTTCAGGCATTTCAGAACACTGATTTCCACATGAAGTGCTTTATGACTATGGTTTTATAAGTTTAAGCACCAGAAATAGCTACAAAGGATTCACACTGTTGGCTTTAGAAGTTAAGGGACTTTACATTCTAGAGCAAAACAAGCTTTGCCTCCAGGTACCACTTGGAGTTAGCCTGAAGCTAATTCTATAGGATGTGGCACAGGGGCCTGGTGAATGGATGCTGAGGGAGGCGCCCTCTTCCTTGTCCGCCTGCCCGGCATGGAGCCTCTCACAAAAGAGGCTGTTGGCACCTGGCCTGAATAAGCCCTAGGTCACCCATCAAGGCTCGAGATGCAACTTCTCCCCAACCTACTTATTTAGTTTATGACCCTCAGGAGAATTTCTAAGGGCTAGACTCTCCCCCACTGCCCCAGAAAAATAAGAGAGTTCCAGAATACATTGAAATCTGGTATGATTTTTTTGGCATCCATTACTAAGATGATGAATAAAACAAAGACTATAGGTGATTTTAAGAACTGAAAAGAAGTGATAGGAACATGTTAGGGTATCTTTTTGGAGTTCCTTCATTGATGAAGGGGCCCTGCCAAGAGTACCAATAGCAAAACTGATCATTTTGGGATTTCTTTATATTGGGTGGAGAAAAAGAAACTTGTCCTACTTAGTAAAAACATCTCTTTCAAATACTTGAGGTGCAACGAGAAACAAAAAGAGAGGGAAAAAAAATCAATGAGGATTCAGTCTTAAGTCTGGTGAGTGAATCTGTGTGTTGGGTTGGTTTACACATAAGACCTAGCACACGTTGGGGTTTTTAAAACCCTTTGGGATTCTCTGGGCGGGGTGGGTGAAGGACTTAAGTACTGTAAAGTGAAAAAACAAAACAAAACAAAACTGTGTAGTGACCAGTGCATTTGAAGGTCTATTTGTGGCTTGCTGTTCCTTCCTTTTTGGGAAGCTAAAGGTTTTTTGTTTTTGTTTTTGTTTTTGTTTTTCTTGTAAAAATTCTCTCATTATTTTAATTGATATTTACAGATTTTTTTCCCCCCATCTTCTGTTATAATTTTTAGGTGCTTCAGAACTGGGCCCTTTTTCAGACCCCAGGCAGTTCCCAAGCATTTCATCCCTCACTGAGAGCCGCTTCTCCAACCCACGAATGCACTATCCAGCCACCTTTACTTACACCCCGCCAGTCACCTCAGGCATGTCCCTCGGTATGTCCGCCACCACCCACTACCACACCTACCTGCCACCACCCTACCCCGGCTCTTCCCAAAGCCAGAGTGGACCCTTCCAGACCAGCAGCACTCCATATCTCTACTATGGCACTTCGTCAGGATCCTATCAGTTCCCCATGGTGCCGGGGGGGAGATCGGTCTCCTTCCAGAATGCTTCCGCCATGCACCACCACCTCGAATGGCAGCACGCTATTAAATCCAAATTTGCCTAACCAGAATGATGGTGTTGACGCTGATGGAAGCCACAGCAGTTCCCCAACTGTTTTGAATTCTAGTGGCAGAATGGATGAATCTGTTTGGCGACCATACTGAAATTTCCTCAGCAGTGGCCCAGCGGTATCTGGGAGCCGCATCCCAAATGTATCAATATATACATATATAGAGAGAGTGCATATATATGTATATCAATGAGCTATCTGCAAAGTGCCTATTTTCTAGAAGATTTTTCATTCCCTCACTCAGTCATGATCTTCCAACCGTTAAGAGGGTAGAGATACTGAGAAGCAAAAGGCCCGAGAGACACCATCCTATCTAGGTTCCAGGTTGTTTTCTACTTAAAATGTACTTTTACAAACCTAGGAAAAAGGTATTTTTTTGTTGTGTTGTTGTTTGGCCTGTTGCCACAAATCATCTGTTCCCATGGCAAGTCAGAGAGGTGGACTCCAGGTTCAGGAGGAAGAAGAGCAAAGCCACTTCCTCTCTGTGCTTTGATACCACACACCCTCGTGGTGGCGGCTATGTCTGGACCCGTGCATTCTGCAGACCAGCTTCCAAAACCGGTCGAGGTGCACATCAAGGGCAAAGAGGGAGAATGGATGGTTCCATCACAGTACCATCCATTCCGAGTCACTGTCCCAAACTTTGCTTTCAGACTTGCCGTGAGTTCTCATCTGAACTGTTTGGTTCAGTTTTTGTTCTTGTTTTTTTTTTTTTTTTCTTTCCTACTTTAAGAAAGTGATTTCAAAAAAATACTGATTGGGATAGATGATTTCATTTTACTTTTTAATACTTTTTTTGTTTCCTTTTCCCATTTAACCAAAAAGAAATCCCATCCCTCAACACCACCCCTGCCTTGTCCCTGCACCTTTCTCCTTTTATGCAAAACTCAAAATGGCAATACCTTATTATAGCCATAATGGTATAGATAGTGTTTGCGTTTGGCTGTGTGTTGTTTTCTTTTTTTTTTTTTTAAATTATGAATATGTGTAAAATCTGAGGTAACTTGCTAACGTGAATGGTCATATAACTTTAAAGATATATTTATAATTATTTAATGACATTTGGACCCTTGAAACATTTCTTAGTGTACTGATACGTTGACTTCGGTCTCTAAAAGTGCTTTTTATTAAATAACAAATTTCTTCAGTGGGCTAGAGCCATATCTGAAATATTGCTAAGCAATTTCAGTTCATCCAGGCACAATGTGATTTTCAAAAATACGTCCATCTCCAAATATCTTAGATGTAGCTTGTTTATTGTGATGTATGAAGGAAATGTTATGCTTCGTTCTTTCAGACCTTGGATTGCCTCTGACACAGCTTTGCCTTCTAAAGCAATAATTAGGGATTTAAAAACCAACTCTTAGCCCTGTATCACTCATGTTGCCCTTTATTAGCATGAAATGCTGGAGTGATGTGGTTTCCCAGTTTCTTTTGAATAATGGTGACTCTTGTCATATTAAAAAGACAAGCACAAGTGAATCATTGAACTGCAGAAAAATGTTCTGTGGTTTCCTAGTTAAAGCAAAACTCTAAATCGCCAGGCTTCATAGTGAAGACACAGCTTAAAGCCACCCATGTGGCTTAAGGATTGATCATGATACACATAGGACAGTAAAGCCAAATTGCACCGGGGATTCTTAACTAACCTGCCTTACCAAACAGTAAGTCAGGAGAACCCAGATCTGCCTCACCTGAGGCCCCACTGGCAGCTCTCTGCAGAATCTGCATTTAAAGGAGCAGATTTAGCCATTGTCTCATGGGAGCCCTGTCATCTGAAGGAGCTGGAGACTTCCAGCAGATAGCTGAGCTGAGTTAATGTAGGGCCTTGGGGACCCATATCAAACCCCTTGGGGTCAAAGGAAGGCAAGGCCATGTGGAGTTTGGTGTCTACTACTGTGTATGAATTTGAGCAGAAGCCCTCCTGTAGGATGCACTTTGGCCACTCCTGGCGACCACCTGGCAAATTCTCAGCGTGACCTTAATCCAAGCCAGGATCACTCCGTGACACCACTGGGCAAATCCCTGCTGGCTCCCTCACAGGTCCAGGGGACCCCTTTGTGTCAGTTCTGTGCCCCCACTGAGCAGAACCTTGTAGAGATTTGTCCCCAGCTTCTGGGGACCTTTCTCTGTAGTCATTCCCAGGCCCGCTTCATGGGCCGTCAAGCCTGGTGGGACGCTGTGTGTTGTGGGGGCATCTGGCCCTGTGCTTCTGCCTGGGGGCCTCCCTTACGACCACCCTGACTCCTCCCAACAAAAGTCGAGGGCAAAACAAAACAAAACAAAACACTGCCTTCTAAAGGTTGTATACCAAGTATGCTTAGATAAATAAGCCACTTTTCTATTACTTAACTAAGATGGAAGTAGTAACTGATACTATTTATTGTTTGTGTGTGGTAGCTTGAAGCACGCCACTGTCCATTTATTTGTTAAGTGTAAAATATGTGTGTTTGTTTCAGCAGCACTTAAAAAAGCCAGTGTCTGGTTACACATTTCAATTTTAATTAATTGACATAAAAATGTTACCGCCAGTGCCAGCTGTACCCTATTTAATAAAAAAGGTACTATATTTGTACATTATTTTTTAATGTTAAAAGGGCTTTTTTAAGTTTACAGTACACATACTAAGTGACTTTAGGGATGCTTTTGTGTTGAAATGTTATTATAGTGGCTGCAGGCAGCAACCCAGAAACACTTTAAAAAGGTTTTTTTTTCCTTGGGAAAAATTCAAGCACTTCTTCCTTCCACCCTCACTCCAACCACTCCAAAGGGGTAAGTCACATTTCTTGGATTGAATTCTGCCCTTTTTCAGCCTGGGGGTTAAATATTCCTTCCCCCTCCTCTTTTTTTTTTTTTTTTTTAACCGAACCCTTAATTTGCACTGGGTCATGTATATGATCTGTGATTTCAAGACCAAAGCAAAGCCCGACTATTCCTCCTACCACGGAACCGTGTACTAGCCAACACTCTGTATTTCCTTCAGGTTCAAAGAGCACGGTTCTCTTTGTAGCACAGACGTTGCTGGAGTTTTCGGCGTGACCAGCTCAGCCGCTTTCTGTCTGTTTTAGTTGTCTCACAAAGTGTGACCAGTGTCAGGGTTCCAGAACATACCACAGTGTTGGTTTTAGATGAGTGAAATGACTTCCAGCCTGGAACTGAGAGACTTGACCAATGAACTATGGTTTGCTCTTCAGACAGTCTCACCAACCCCCACCCTGCCCCCAGGGCCTTTTAAAAATGAGCAGAGAAATCCACACCGTTAGGGACCATCCATTGCAAACCCAGAGGGGAGGAGATGTGTGTGCTCCTTAAGAGTTCCCTTCATTCCCAGGAAAGGGACTGACTCAGAGTCTAGGTTAATACATGGAAACACAAAGCATGAGTGAAGACAATAACGACTTTTATGACATTCGAAAGAACAATCATAAATAAAGAGGACTCTGGCAAACCTTGAATTTGTTGTTCTTCAAAAGAGAATGCATTTAAAAAATATTTTCTGTGTGAGAATTTTTTAGATGTTTGTTTACTTCATGTTTACAAATAACTGTTTGCTTTTTAATGCAGTACTTTGAAATATATCAGCCAAAACCATAAGTTACAGTAATTTCTTAGGTATTCTGAATAAAATTCCATTTTTTTTTTTTTGGATATGCTTTACCATTCTTAGATTTCTGTGGAACAAAAAAATGTTTGTAGCATTTTGTGTAAATACAAGCTTTTCATTTTTATTTTTCCAATTGCTGTTGCCCAAGATCTGCTTTCCCTGCACATATTGTACAAATTCTGCTTTGTGCCACAGGCCATGATTGTGGATGAGTTTACTTTCAACTTCAAAGGGACTATTTGTATTGTATGTTGCAACTGTAAATGGAATTATTTGGCATTTTTCTCATGATTGTAATATTAATTTGAAGTTTGAATTTAATTTTCAATAAAATGGCTTTTTTGGTTTTGTTACGTGTGTACTTTGGGTCTTTTCTCAGCCGCGGTTTCTTCTCTAGTCTGACGCCTACTCCTGCCTACACCTGGGCCCTTCTTGGCCCTAGGACTTGCCAGGGCCAGAGGAGAGCGGGGTTCTCTGTGACTGGTGAGAGGTTAAAACATTTCGCTGAGCGCTGCCTTCTTGGTTTGTCCTACTCCTACAGAGGTGTGGGTGAAGGATCTAGCAGTGAACTTATTTCCTTGTCAGCCTGTGTCTGAAGGAGAGCGCGCCCACCCCATCCTTGAGTAAAGCCCCTTTACTCTGACGAAGGGACCAGACTGGATATAAAAGATAGTGGGCTCCGCAGTCCAAGGGTTCTAATCTCTGGGCATGTGAGCAGTTGCTGGCGAGTGAATTTCTTCCTGGCTAGGGTCAGAAGATCTCAGGCAGCCCTGCCATAGGAGATAATCTAGCTGCTTCCCACATCTCTTTTGGGTTCTTAAAAACAAAATCAGTCAAAGCTCAAGGGTAAGTAAAAATGGACCTTGGCCTGGAGAGCTGTAACCTCAGAAAGATTCTACTAGGCAGCAGGACTAGGGTTTGGAGATCTGTTTGTTTTTAACGGGCTATTGTGTATTTTTGGTAAGTCCCTCCCCTTTGATAAGGTTGAGGGCCTGGGGTAGAGTGGCTGCTCTTTTTCTGTCCTGTGCTATCTGTCCGCCTTGGCTTACCACAGTTCTAAAAGAAGGACCAGAAACCGTGAGGTGGAGATGCTCAGGCGCGGGCCAGTGGACCACGTGACGCTAGAGAGAGGCCTCCTTTGAGATCTGCTCATTCTTACCCCTTTGGCATCGTGTTCTGAGAAATCTTGGAGACCGCTAATTTCTAAGACTAGGAGACATCCTGAAATCACGTGGGTGAGACCTAGGCCAGTGAACTTGTTTGCAGCTCTTTGAAGATGTATATTTATTTATCCTTTTTTATTAGACATCTGTGTAGCTTTCAAAGGCATTGCATGGGAGGTGGGCAGAGTGGCTTTTCCTTTCTCTCCAGCTTTGTCCAGCAGCATGGTTCAGGGCAAATGGCTTTACTCCTCTGGGTCTCAGTTTTTTGGCATATGGAGAGGCATTGGGCTAGACCTTGGATTTCTTGACATTTCAGCCTGGAAAGTTCTTTTGGGTGTGTGTGTGTGTGTGTGTGTGTGTGTGTGTAGGGTGTGTGGTCCTACACATCGTAGAAGGTTTAGCCACCTGTCTCTGGCTTCTACCCACTAGATGCCGACAGCACTGCACCACTTGTGACAATGACATGTCTCCAGAATGTTCCCTGGGAGGAAGAGTCGTCCCCAATCCAGAACCAGTGGGCTAACGGCTCTCTCTCAATTCTTCGGTCAGGCTTTCTTGACAGAACTGGTGTGAAAATACACTGCTCGTTATAACAGGATAGCCAGGGGGAAGACCGAGGGCCCTCCCCGGAGGTGGACGTGCATCATCCTTTTCCAGCCCTTCACCTGCTTGTCTCTCTGAGGTTGGGAGGTGTCGTGAGTGGGGCTCCTGGCTTTCCTGTCCGCACGTCTCTTCCTCCTCATGTCCCAGGGAACGGCATAGCTGGGGAGCTTTGTGAGGCCCGGATGGCTTGGCCATGTTCATCATGGCTGCTTCAGTTCTCAATGGAAACAAAAGGCGGAGGAAGAGAGACGTTTGTCCAGTGTGTCTGACCCCTTGTGCCCCCTGCCCCCCATATACCTTATCATCAGGCACTGCTTTGAGAGTGGGCATTTCCTGTTAACTCAATCCCAGCC